ACCGGGTCTCACAAGGTTGCTGTGGGTAATCCTGAATTTCTGGCCTTCTAGCCATCCTCCTACCTCTCCCCCCCAAACTCCTGGGGTTACAAGCAGGAACTGGCATCTTCACTTGTTTAATAAGCACTTCTTATGGTCCCAGGGACATCTGAGCTCCATGGGAAAGTCACCCAAGTCACCCCCACCCACCCCTATTTCCCTCGGTGATTACTGCCACTGAATAAGAACTGAGCTCTGGGGCCCTGGCCAGGGAGAGAGGAAGGGACCCAGCCTGGCCTGGGGGTCCAGGTGGTGGCGACCTGCTGAGACCAGTCACCAGAGGCAGCTCTGCTGCAGAGAAGAGTTTTTGGAGGGATACGCAGAACAAAGCATGCTCCTGCCCTGAGCTTCTGCCGGCCACATGCCAAGTGGTATTGGCCAGGCTTCCTCACTGAACCCCAACGCTCATGGGGCTCTGGAGCCAGAGCAGGCCCCAAGCAGAGGACATGGCTGGACCCTGCCCTCGGGGCCTCCCAGAGCAGCCCTGATGAAGGCAGGAAGCTCTGGGGGTCCAAGAAAAGCTTGGGGGCAGAGGAGGGACAGGCCCCAGTGGGGAGACTCAGGAAGGACCCTGGGTGGGGGCCTGTGGCAGGACGGGTAGGAGAGAGGGGAGCACCCGAAGGGCACACCCAGGACAAGCCCTGCAGAGGCGGGTGGGGCCCCACTCACCTGCTTGATTGCGGCTCTGAAGGCCCCCAGGACAGCCGCGGCGCCCCCGCAGTCCCGCTTCATCCCTGGCATGGTAGTCTGTGGGTCGTACAAAGGGACCAGGACAAAAGTGAACTGTGAGGTCCAAGCCTGGCAACAGTGGCCCCCCACCCCCACCCGGCCCCACACCAGCCCTACCTTCCCTAGCCTCCCAGGCCCGGGCTGCCCTCATACCAGGCCTCCTGGGCACCCACAGAGCTCATGAACCGCCTATTTGCCAAGCAGAGTGTTCTCCAGAAGCAACAGGGAGTCATGGCTATAGAGGGTGGGGCTCCCTTTTGTTTTGATAGAACTTTGGGGTTGCCAAGTAGTAACTGTGTGGAGGGGGATCCCCAAGAGATGCCCGGAGCTGCAGGATCTGCCATGGCTCGGTTCTAACATAGCCACAGGGTTGCTTTGAAGCCAGGCACCCTGTCTCCAGTCCCAGGGCTACCGAGCGCCTGGGGGGTCTGTCTGCAGGGCTGCTCTCTCTCCAATCCTCTGCACAGCATGAGGAGGAAGCTGAGGTCCTGGGAGCCTCTGGGGCTTGCTGGAGGTCCCCGGCCAGTGCCTCTGGGACCTGGGTGGCTCACTTGCTTCCTGCACCCATTGCAGATTCCTACTCTGCTTATGGTGGGGAGGGGGCCTGAGGGGCCGCTGCTGTGAGGCAAACCTGCCCTGGCCACCTGCCACACCCAGGAACAGGGCCTAGCTTCCTTGCCCTGGCATTTAGAGGCCTTTACCACCTAAAGATCCTTAGGCTCGGCATTCTCTGCTCCTCATCACAACTTTGAACAGTGGTGAGGGTTGCCGTGAACTCTTCGCCAAAATCAGTCACATCCGCCCCCCCAACCGACGTCACCAGCAGCGAGGACACCTGTCGCTCCCTCATTTTTGCTGCCAGGTGAAGAGGCTGCCTCTGCCCTCCTGCTAGTTCATACCTCCTGGTTAACCTGGGTCTAAAGAGGGGCCACCCTCCTCCCCCAGTGTCCACACTGTTTCCTGTCCGCTGGTTGAGAGTGTCATACATTTGTACATTTCATAGGTTCCCGACTTTAATTTGCAAATTCATATTTTAAATGAACAGCAGGTCCTCAGAGGTAAAGGTCTGGGTATGAAGTTTTCTGAGTGATTTTTGAACCCTTATCGTGTTACATGAGTCCTGAATTTTAGTGCAAAGTATTTTTAGACATAAACTGAGCTGCTTTTATAATTGAATGGAAATGGCCCGTCTTTTATACTACTAAAAATAAGCCATCTCTTCTGAGCTACTCTGCGAGAAAACACAGGATTGTTTAAATGGAAAAACAGGGCCTCCGATCTGGAATCAAACCATGTGCAAAACAGTTCACACAGAAGTGCCTGGAAACGGCTGCTCACTATACACTGAGTCTCCCCGTCGCAGCTGCCAGCTCCTTCCCAGTTGCAGGTGGAGCCAGGACTGGGCTTGCAAATACAGAGCAACTGATCGTGCAAAGTTTCACCACTCCCATACGTTGTTTCTGTTTCTATAGAAGAAACCATTTTCAGAGTGATTTAAGATGGCCTCTGCCCTTTCCACTGGGCTGACACTGACACACTCTGTGTTGGAGGATCAAGCCACAGCCCTAAAGAGGTTGGGGAGCCACTGGATTCACTTCCATGCCCTCTGGGAAAATGAACCAATGCCAATTTCACGTTAGAATTTCCCTGCTGAAGCAGTAAAATTAATTTTTAAAAACTCTCAACCCTTGGGTATAAAACATATTCCATATTCTGTGTGACTCATAACATACTCCCGCTGCTGCTGCGGGCAGTGGTTAGTCAGAGCAGCAGCTCGGCCGTGACTGCTGGGGGAGCTCTGAGCTCCACGAGTCACTGTGCCCACCAGCACCACCTTTACTTAAAAGAAAAACTGACAGACAAATGGCACTTAATTGGATTTAGGTATCTGGCAAATATTTCCCAGAAAAGGAACAAACTGAGCCTCTTACTTCCAGAAACAGCTGACGTTATTTATTGCCAATGGTATACATTTGAGCTTTTAAGCAAAAGCCAGAATTTTGAAAAACTTTCTCCTATCACCATGACAACTTCCTCATACTCAGTGACTTTTCTGATGAGATGAATGGTGATATTAGTGACTTTTTTGATACTATATAATGAAAAGTGTCAAAAATTCAAATTTCTGCAGAGCTCTGTGAACCAATATTTCTCAAGTGAACATACATATTACAAAAACCACATGTTCAAAGTTCAAGAGCGAACAGTAGATTTAACTGCCAGGGGGCACGAAAGTCTACTCGTGAGGCTTCAGATTCCACGTTAACACCAGCCTCTAAGAAACTACCACTTGGTGAGTTTTGGTATAACAAAGAATGTTCATAGTTAGTGAAAAAGGTACTAAAATCCTTTTCCCTGTTCCAACCATAAAATGTGCGAGGCCAGATTTTCTTCAACTCAACTGAAACAGCACATTTCCATAGACTAAATCAGAAGCAGATGTAAGTCTTCTATTAAGCCAGCCACTGACAGGATTTGTGAAAATATGCAACAATGCTACACTCTCAGTAAATGTTTTTGCATTTTGGAAAATAGTTATCTTCGTAAAATTACATTACTTATGGTAACATGCAGTGGATTTATATGTTATTTTTAATGAATTACACATATGTTACAAATCTCTCACTTTCAAGTAGAGTAAATATCAGTAGACATCACTCTTATACACAAAGCCTCCTTGGGGCTGATACTTGTAAAGAGTATAAAGGGGACCCCAATAATGCATTTGAGGCCTGCTGATCAGTCCAGGCTGATCTTGATCTGCCCTTGAAATCTTTGGAAATGGAGCTGTAATTTTTCTTGCAAAACTGGGAGCCTGGCTGGCTCCACCCAGCTTGCTTTTTGAGGAGTGACCATTTCTGCACAATCTGCTCTAGAGGCAGCCACTGGGGAGAATGCTCGCTGCGTTCCTGTGTCACACCAGGCCCTTGGGTGAGACTCTGAGCACCTTCAGGTCAGGATTTGGGTCTTTCCATCAATGGCTGCAGCCTCAGTGCCCACTCCACACAGTAACAGCTCAGGAAAGGCCTGTTGGTTGATCCCAAATCCACATAGAACAGCTCCAAGCGCAGCAGAGAAGATGGGTGGGTTTAAAATAGAAAACCAGGTATTGTTTTGCTGGTGCCAGAATGCCCAGCTATTCCATGTATTATGGGGTCTGCAGACCAGGTGGACCCCGGGGGATAGGCAGGGGCTATAGTCTCATTTTCAGAAGGTGGTTTGGAACCATGGAAAATCCCCTACTCTCTGGCAGCTCTACCAGCCACCCTCAGACCACGGCTCCCCTGGAGGCTGTGCTGCTGTGGCCTCTAGGGAAGGCCTACGTGATCAGGTTTTTCCTTTGTGTTAATTTCCAGGCCAGGAGCTGACTTATTGCACAGGTGCACCCCACAGCCACATAAGAGAAGTCAGGTGCAACGATATTTTCCCTAAGTGACCAGAGTTAGTGCCACAAGCAAAAGAATGAATTCCCAGGAAGTCCAGCTTCTCACACTGGTCCACAACAAGCCGACATCAAAAACAAGCATCTGATCCAGGGAGATGAGGGTCCACGACTCTACCAGCCAGAATGTAGCAGCTTCCAGGGCGAGTGTGGGTACTGAGGGTGCGAGGGTGGGGGCAGACAGTACCAGGCACAGGCATTAGGGGGTGCACTATCTGTGGTGAATTTAGGAATCATAGTAAAGCGAGTAAAAGTCAGTTTGCTTATTACCATGGTGTGCTGGTATCTCTGAACAATGTCAACGATAACATATTCCTCCTCCAAAAACCTGCTGTTCATTGAAGTTTTAAAAATTGCTGGGGCTACCGTTGCATTTTAATCATACAAATAAAAGCTTCAAATTCGCCTATCTTCATTACTTATCCTGTAAATAACATTATGTGGATGTTAACAACGACCCGACATACAGCTGGCCCTGACACTCATGGGGTCTACTCTCCACATTCCTTCTGAGAATTGCTCTGACAGTCAGGTCCTGTGGGCTGGCTCTGGGCAAAGGCGGGGCCTCCAGGGCCCATGATTTTCTACCTCTCTGTGTCAAAATAGAGGACCCAAAATAAAACACAAGAGCACGGGGACGGTAAAAATGATGATGCAGAATCAGGGTTCCTTCAGTTCCCTCATTCTGTGTGAACCCTTGGAGTTTCTGTGCCCAAAATATTTTCGGTTCACAGATATCGGAAAGCCACAAGAAGCCATCCTGAAGAACTGAACACATGGACGGTGTGGTGACTGCTAGAGTTTACTGTGAAATGGGATTGTTAGGAATCTCTGCAAAGGATCCCGTATAAACATTGCTCCTGAGTTTCCATGTATCTGTTGCCTCATGTGATTGGAGCTCTTCAAAATCAAAATTAACAGATAGTATTCTTGGACCCACTATGAGTGAAGACAGACTCACAAACTTGATTCCTATGCCTACTGAACACCCATTAGTAAAGAAGGTCAATTGAAATGAAACCATTGTCAAATCTGGAGATGCTAAGACTCAAAGCCAGAAACATTAATTCCAATATTGGTAGCTAATTCAAAGTTTAAAACACCAGGCCTCTGTGAGCCTTGCGGGCTGCTAGTTTTCAGTGTCTGGTCTGGATGTGCTCCCCACTCCCTCCAGACCTCCTGGGGCACACACCTCCCAGTCTGCTCCCTCCCTGTCCTAGGCCTGGTGTGTGGGGTGAACAGACAGAGATGGCGCGGAGGAGGCAGGCCTTGCTGAGGTGGACAGACTCAGCCATGATGGGGGCTCAAGTGCCTGTCCTCCTGGGATGGCAGGGCAGCAAGCCGCATCACGGGACTAGGACACCTCACAGGGATGTTCCCGGGTGACTCGCTTCTGTGCTGTCCAGATTCCCCTTGCTCTTGGGGGTCACGTGCCTTCAGAGGGTCTTGTGTGGCTGCCCTGAGTGTTTTCTCGCTGGGGACCAAGGGCAGACTTGGAGACGTAGGCATCCCTTTGCCCTTCCCTTCTTTGGACAAAGCCCCCAGCTCCAAGCCCTGCCTCCCTGGCTCTGCTTGCCCTTCCTTTGGCCATTTCTGGGGCAGCTCTCGGGCCCTGGCCAGGCTTTTGTTCCAGACCCTTTCGAAGGGTGGCCATGGAACCCAGAGGTCACGTGAAGTTGCTGCCCCAGCATGGGCACTGGCCCATGGACTCTCCCTGAACCCACCCCAACCCAGAACCCCCAGAAATCTCACTGCCTCCCACCCCAAGACACCTCTGAGAGGGCTGGTTCAACCCAAACTGGGCCCCTCCACACTCCCAGGGCCCCCTGAAGCGCTGGCCCCAAACCTCACCTTCCCTTTGATGCTGAGGCCCCCAGTGTCATAGACGATGCCTTTGCCTACCCAGGCGATGGTCTGCGTGGCTCCCTCCGGGGTATGGCTGAGGACTGCCAGGGCTGGGGGGTGCAGGGCGGCTTTGCCAACCCCATAGATTCCTATAGAAAGCACAGGGAGAATGGTGTTAGGCGTGGGCTGAGCTGAGCGGGGAACTCCCAGAGGTTCCCAGAAACCCCCCACTCTGGCTGGCTGGTGTTTTCTCCTGGAGAGCCACACTACCTGAGCCTGGGGTTCCCTGCCCCCTCTCCTGCCTGCCCCTGGCCAGTGTGGGATTGGGGAATGCAAATTAGCTCCAATGCCTGAGACTGCAAACAAATTCTATGCAAAGTATTGTTAGGCAAGAAAACCCGCTGAGGGAAAAAATACTGTATCATTTCCAGAAAGAAAAGAACAGGATTGCAGAATGAAATGATCTTTGGATAATGCCTCAAGGCCCCACTTCCTGAATCCTTTGAGCACTCAGGGACTGCACCGCCCTTTCACACTGACTCCCACGGTCTCTGCACTACTGCCTCTTTGCTTTACATGACACATCTCAAGAAAGCTGTGGCCGTGTGTGTGCGAAGTCCATGCCTCAAAGCACTGCAATAGCAGTCAAACAATCATAGCAACCATGATGAGAGCTAATCATGGCTGCCAGACAAACTCCTACTCATCCTGCAAGATCCGCAGCAAACGCCACCTCCTCTGTGAAGCTTTCCCTGACACAAGCCGCCTCTCCCTCCCCTTCTAAATGGCTTCTGTCTATGTAGACACCACCAGGATGGCCCCTGTGACCCCACGTCTGGGCATTCATGTCCTTGTGTAGTACCTTCCCCTCATGGGGGCAGGTCCTAATGTCTCACTTCTAACCAGAGGAAAAAGGTAGAAGGGATGAGATACCACTTCGGGGATTAGGTTACAGAAAAAGATGGGAGTTTCCATCTTGTTGTCTCACTCTTTATCCCTATCTCTCGCTCAGAGACCTCGCTGGGAAGGTGGCTCACCCAGCATGGAACTGCTGTCTCCAGCTAATGACCTGTGAGACCCTGAGACCTGCTGGCAGCTGTTGTGAGCCAGTCTGGAAGCACATCGTCAGCCCCAGGCAAGCCTTTGGATGACTGCAGCTCCAGCCAACAACCTGACAGCAGCAGGCAGAGACCCCGAGCCCGGGGATGACCCCACCCACAGCACGGTGCGGGGATATGCGTTGCTGCTTTCAGTTGCTATTTTCTGAGTAACGGAAACAGCCACCTTCCTCTCACCAGTCTATAAGCACCATGGGGCAGCTGAGTCATATTTATCTGCCCCTCTGGTTCCTGGGCAGTGAGGAAAGGTGGGTCTGGGGACTTGGGGAAGGCCTCTCTGAGGAGGGGGCATCTGAGCTGAGATGCACTGGTTGAGAGGGCCTTCACCAAAAAAATATGTTGGGGGCAAGTATTCCAGCTAGGGAGAGCCATCTGCACACAGGTCCTGCCGTGGGTGTGAACTTGTGTATTCGAGGAACAGAAAGGCCCTGCTGAGCCAGTCCCGGGAGAAAGGGTGTGCAGCACGTGAGAATGCTGGAGAGGCTGCAGGCAGGGAAGGACTTGGATCCTGCAGCTTCCAGAATCCAAATCAGAGTCTGGCTTGCCGCCCCCCTTCTTCCCCAGGGATGGCTGCTTCCCAGGGTCTGGTCTTGGGCTTGGACACAGGCCGATTCCTTTCAGGTCACAAGCAGGATGAAGTTTGGGACAATGTTCCATGTGGCCTGCTGAGCCCCCTGCCACCTAAATGCCCCTGGCCACTGCCTGAGGCCAAGACCCACAGGGATGTAGCCCCCACCCACCTCCAAATCCTCTTGTCTTCAGTTCCTCATCCCGGATGATGGTTGGGACAATCCCCAGCTCTTTTCCAACTTTGTTAATCTCCTGGACGTGTTCATGGAAAAAACAACACAACACATGAAGATGGCTGGAAACAGGCGAGGCCGAGGCTGGGGCCAGGGAGGAGCGGCTGCCTGTGCAGGGTCGGGGAGCCAGGCTTGGGAGCCAGCTTTGCGTGTGATGAACCCCAGGAGAGGGGCTCACCCTCCACACTCCCATTTCCTGCAGCTCTGGCTGCAGGCCTGCCAAGGGGCCTTGAAGAGGAGGCTCTGTCTTCCCCACACACCCTTTCCTGAGGCCTCCTGGAGCTGGGTGGACAGCAGAGCTCCATCGAGGGCAGCCTGAGATTCCTGGGCCAGGTCAGGGTGTAGACAGCCCCAGGTTTCCTCTGGCTCTCTTGGGGGCCTACGATACCCACCCCAGCCTGACCCCACCCCTGGCTGGATGACGCCACAAACCTCAAGGAAGGTGTCGGTGTTCATCTCGTTGCAGGGTGTGTCCACGATGCGGGCTGCTAGCCGCACGCCTTCTGTGGCATTTGCTAAGCACTAGGAAAAAAGAGGCCATCACTGGGGGCCTGGGACCAGGCGGGAGGCAGATGTTCTCCGCTTGTCCATCCCCCAGGAACCCAAAGGAATCAGAGGCAAACGCCACCCACAGGGCTACTGACAGGGCAGCAAGGGGAGGGGGAGTATGGCTGTCCCTGCCTGCGCCACCCGCAGCAACCCAGGGCCACCAGCCACCTGTAGAAAGAATTTTCAGCACAGCCACCGCCCTGCATCTCCACAACTATACAGGAGTCCCCAGCCTGGGGCCCTGGCCTTTCGTGTCTAGGTCCTTTCCAACCCCCGGGTCCTGTTCCTTCCCTCATCCCAGCTACAGCTGAAGGTAGGTGGCCCTCACACCAGCCTGAGTATGCCCTGAACTTCCCATCTCACCTCCGCAGAGCCCACAACGCTCCCTCCCACCAAGGTCCCAGTCATCCTTCAAGGCACTTCTCATAGGCCGTCTACAACAATGGTTTCTCCAGCTCCTCCCCACCAAGCACAAGCACTCTCCATCCTGAGTGCCTGAACCTGCTGGCCCTCCAGATGCCCTCTCTCTGGCCTGCTGCTTTCCTCATGAGTCCCATGCAACTGTGTCACAAACTCTGCAAGACACATGGGGGCCTGGCTGCCCTAGTGCTGTCACTTGACATAGCACGGTTCTGGGCACAGAGGGGAGGGACACAGAGGCAGGTCTTGCCTCTTGGAGCTGACGTGTCCACCCAGAAGCTGAAAACATGGGCCCTGCTGGCCTGGTAGGACTTCAGAGCCCACATTCGAAGGCAGGGCAGAGAGGGGCATATGCACCAAAGCCAAAATCACACGGGTCCCAGAAATGCATCTTTCAGCCCTGGCCTTGGCCTTTCTTTGCCTTCTCATTCTGGGTCTCACCTCTGCCCTGGGAACCTTGCGTTCTCTTAGCTGAATCTACAGGCATCCTTTCCCACCCTGTCCCCCACCATGCACCCCCAGGCGCAGAAGCTTCAGACAGCTGGCTGCTTCCTCGGCCTCCCTCGCTCACCACAAAGACAATATTAAGAGAAAAGCAGCGCTGTTTTGCGGGGGTGCAGGACAGCATCAAGTTTATCATCCCTGCCTCTAGTCTCATAATGTCAGGGCAGCAGGCGCCGGGTCGATACCGCCAGCCCGGCCACCTCCCCCGCCCTGCTGAGGTAATTAAACCCCAGAGCCTCAAAGGTAGAAACCTGGAGCTTGACAGCTCTGATATGAATGTGCCTGGGCCGTCCCTGCCGCCTGTCAGCGGATTTCTGTCTGTGAGGGCGTGCAGGGACCCGACAAGGACTGTCTGAGAAGTGCGTCAATGCTGTGTCACTCGCCTACAAGGAGGCCAGATGGCACCTGGAAGACCCCAGACCTGAGCGAGCAAGGAGCTCTGACGCAAGAGCGCTCCTACGGGAGGCAGGGGCAGGGCTGCAGGTGCCCTCCACCACCACACAGCCACGCCACACTGGGGAAGGTGAATCCCTTACCACGAGAGGAGGGCCACTCATTCTGTCCACACTTATGTGCACACCTACTGTGTGCCAGGCGCCATGCGAGACATTCAGAGATATCCAAGGGAGTCAAGCTCAGCAGAGACTCACAACACAGTCCCAGTCCCTGCTGCAGAAGAGAAGGAGGGCACAGGACGCTGAGGGGACTGGGGCCTGGATGGGCACTGGGAGTTTCTCACAGGGAAGAGAAGGGAGAAGCTGAGTATAGGCCACACGGGTGTCAGATGCTGGTGTGCTCAGGACCCAAGAGGGCTGAGTGGTGGTAGCCATGGGTTAACAGCAGCTCTGCCCCTGGCTGGCAGACCCAGTTAAGTCAGTCACTGTTGGCAAGCAGTTTGCTCAGCTCTAACATGGGGACAATAGGCCGCCTCTCACGGGGCTGTAGTGAGAATTCGGTGCACTAGCATGGGCTATGTGTACACTCCTGCCTCCGTGCAGGGCCTGGCAGCTGACAGCACTCAGAAGATGCCAGCTTGCACACACCCAGGTGTGCTTTTGGAAGGCGAGTGAAGCGGGAGCTGGAAGGAGGCTGTCTGTGCAGGGTGACCAGGAGACTGCTGCCACAGCCCAGGAGAACACCTTAAGGCATGGCACTGGGCAGAGCAAAGGCAAGAAACAGGACACACTGACAAGCTAGGACCAATGGGGTCAGGGACCACTGGGACTCACTGCCCCATGGGTTCCGTCACCAGCTGTTTACTGGGCCTTTGTCACGTGTGGGGTTGGGTGCTAGGATCACTGTGCATAAGACCAGGTCCCTGCCCTCTGGGGACCCCCACCCCAGGGGGGAGCACAGGAGATCAACAAAGATGTGATGTGTCCAATCACGATGGCTTAGCTGACGAATGGGAGGGTGGTGTTGGCCAAGAAAGCCAGGCCTCCCTGGGGGGCAAATGTGGGCAGAGGCCAGATGGAGACCACACAGGGCTGGAGAGGGAAGGAGCGGGAGCATGAGCAGCAGTGAGCTTGGCCAGTCTAAGGGACAACAGGAAGTCCACAGGAGGGAAGGGGCCAAGGGCAGCAGAGGGCAGGTGGGGGGAATCAAGGGTGATGCTTGAGCCCCCAGGTGGGATATGGTAGATGGCAGGCCTGGAGCTCAGAAGGAAATCCCTGAAGACAGAGAGAAGCAGCGGATGCTGGTGTCTGGCTTAGAGAAGACTGGGCAGGCTGGAATGCTGGAGAAGCCATGAGGGGATGCCAAGAGGTGGTGGGCAGTTTGGGGAGCAGTGGGAGAGAGGGGTGCCTCAGGATGGAGTGGCCGCATTTCAAGGAGGGACGGCAATGCCCCATCTAGCAGTCCTTAGAGAACAATGTCAGGATGGGGGCAAAAACTATGTTGCTGTATGTTCAGAGAAAAGAGGACTAAGAAAGGCAAACAGACTTTTTTAAAAGCTTGGAGACAAAGGAAAAGGAAAAAGGCACTGCCTCGTGCTGGTGAAGGTGGAAACACGTTCTCTCCTGGTAAGGAAAAGAATTCGGGTTGAGGGGCAGTGGTTACAGGCCTCAGAGAGGACACAGTGAAAGAAGTGAGGTGTGGACCAAGCCCCGGGTGGGAGAGCTCGCCTGGGTGAAGCTGACAGCCTTCCTGAGCCGGAAGTGGAGAATGGGCTCCAACACAGAAGAAAAGACAACGTGGGTGGTGCTGTAGGCATGGGGGCTGGAGGTGGCAGGCACAGATGCTGGGACTGCTGATGTGGGGAAGGGAACCTGAGGTCAGGACCATCCACGGATCTTGAGGTGGGAATCACTTCTGGCCTTGCCTCCCTCAAAAGGCTCATTCTCAGCATCAAGTGAACTAACACATGTAGAAGTGCTCCCTGTAAAGGGTGAAGCAACACGCATGCACACACACCACACATATGTACACACCACAGATACATCATTCATGCAGACACACCACACATACCACACACTACACACACACACCACTCATGCACACACCCCACATACCACACATACACACATACAACACACATACCACTCATGCACATACCAGCACTCATGCACACACACCACACACACACACCACTCCTACACACACACCACACACATACCACTCCTACACACACACCACACACACACCACTCATGCACACACCAGTACTCGTGCACACACCACACACACACCACTCATGCATACATACCACACACACACCACTCATGCATACATACCACACACACACACCACTCCTACACACACACCACACACACACCACTCATGCTCACACCAGTACTCATGTGCACACACCACACACACACCATTCATGCACACATACCACACACACACACACCACACACACACACACACACCACTCCTGCACACACCAGCACTCATACACACACACCACATACCACGCATATACACACACCACATACCACACATACGCACACACAACACACACACCACTCATGCACATACCAGCACTCATGCACACACACCACACACAATACACACACACAACACACACAACACTCATGCACACACCAGTACTCATGCACACACACCATACACACCACTCATGCACACACCACACACACACCACACATACACACCACACACACCATGCACACACCATACTCATGCACACACAGCAACACACAATACATACACACACACCACTCATTCACACACCAACACTCATACACAGCAACACACAACACATATACACACACATCACACACACCACTCATGCACACACCAGCAATCAAACACACACAGCAACACACACCACACACACACACATCTCACATAAGCGGGCAGGGTTATTTGGAAAACAGCATGGACGTGCCTGGCACTGATTAGGTGCTCAACAAACACTGGCTGTATATAACAGAATCCTGAAGTCAAAGACCAGGCTGAGGCAGAGGGCCTGGGTGTGGAAAAGCCTCTGCAGCTTCCCGGGAACCAAAGCAGCCACCCTCCCACCCCTCCAACAACACTTTTCCCTCTCCCAACTTCCATCCCACCTGCCCCAGCTCGCTGGGGCCCAGGGGCAGGGTCTGTCCCTCCAGACACCCACCTGCAGCGTGGACACCTCCACTGGCCCGTTGTCTTGTCCCACCAGGAAAAACTCCACAGTGACCGTCTTCTTCTCCAAGCGCCGAGAGGCACCTGAGCGGTGGGTGAACAGTGGGAAGGCCCGGGCCAGGGCACAGGCGGAGGCAAAGACCTCGGGCTGCTCGCAGACCATCTGTGGCACAGGGGGTTGATGGGGTGAGGGTGCAACAGCCACCACCAGGAAGTGCTGGGAGCTGCTCCTTGACCCCTCCCAACATCAGCTCCCCAGCAGATGACACCTAGACAGAGGTGTCCCATCCCTCAGGTCATCCCCGGAACCATGGAACCGCCATGAGTCTTCCTCCAAGAGAAATAACACATTGGCCACCAGATGCCAACAGCCTGATCAGCCAGGAAAATGACGGACAGAGGGACAGACACTAGATGGGCCTCAGGAAATCCAGGTTTGAGTCTCTGATTTCCCACCAAAACTGATCTAGGGCAAATCCCTGGGTCTCTCTGGAGCTGTTTCCCTGTCTGCAGAGCAGGGATTGTAATGTCGACGGCCCCCCGGCGGCGTGGCTGCGGTCTGTGCAGGGCTGAGAGCTCCCCAAGCCGAGCGCACCGCTGCCCACTAGGAGCAGCGTGGCTGCCTGCTCTCGAAGCACTCACCACAATGCAGCGATGCACTCCGGGCGGCAGGCAGGTCCGCACCAGCCGCGTGATGAAGTGGGCAGCCGAGGGGCTGTTGTGCCGGCTCACCCTGCAGGGCAAGGCAGCCACGGTGGCGTAGTTCAGGTAGAGGGGACAGCTGTCCGTGGGGTTGGGGTTGAGGGTGCTCAGGGCAGCCTGCCAAAGCTAGATCAGAAGGGAGAGACAAGAGACACAGGCTTCAAACAGCGGCCACGTGCCAGAGGCCCTGCTCCACGGCCACGGCCACGCCTGCAGTCTTGGAAGGGCACAGCACAGCTCCCCACCACTGCTGTCCCACCCTTAGGGAGGTGTGTCGCCTCTCTGCAGAGCTAAGTGTCTCTAGCTGGCTCGCAGCCCCCTGGTGGGATGAAGCCACTAAGACTGAAAGGGCCAGGCTGGGGGTTGCTTTGCTTCCAACACTCGGATGGGGCTTAGACGGCTTCCACCAGAGAAGGGGCAGGGGCAGGGGGTCCCCAAGGAAAGGCAGCTGGGGACACTGCCACAGGAACTTCTGGAAGGCAGGGCCTGTCGCCAGGCAGGGCCGACGCGCCGCCCTGGGAGCGGCCGCGTCTCCCCGCCCTGTCCACAGGTGTCGCGGGATCCTGGGGGGGCGGTGGGCGCAGGGCTGGGCTGACAAGAGGGCGAGAGCGCCAAACCAGCGGCGGGGCCTGGGACTGGACCTCAGCGGGCGAGGATGGGCCTGGCGGCTGAGCCCGTCAGGGAGGCGGCCCGGCCTCGTTGGGCCCGGCCCGGCGGCGGCGGGAGTGCGGCGGGCGAGGCGGAGCCTCCGCGGGCCGCCCGGGCCTGGGCTTCCGCGGCGCGGGGCGCATGGCGGCCGGCGGCCCGCTCACCTCCTCGGTGACCCGGGGCTGCAGCTTCCCGCGGACGTGGCTCCAGGGCACGCGGTGCAGGTGGTGCAGCTGCCCGAGCAGCAGCAGGGGCCGGCTCTGCGGGTCCGCGTCCCCGGCGCTCGCCTGGAACTGCAGCCCCACGTTCGCCATCTTCCCGCCGGCCCACGCCCCGGCCCTGCCCGGCCCGGCCTGGCCCACCGCTCGGCCCGCTTCGCCCCGCTCCGGCCCGGGCTCGCGCCGCCCCAGCCCTGCCCGGCCGCCCGCGGGCCCCGCCTTCCCCGCCGCTCCGGGCCGCTCGCGAGACGTGCAGGGCCCGCCCGGGGCGCGAGGGGGCGCCGGCCAGGCCGGGGGGAGGGTGCGGGCAGGCCCGAGCAGGCCCCAACGAACAGGGCTCGCGCCCCGGGCCTCCAGCGGCGCCGCCCCTTGGCCCGGCGGCGCTGGCGGCCCTGCCCAACACTCGGGGCGACGTGGCCCGCCAGGAAGCGCCTCCCGGACGGGCCCGGCCTCCCTCGGGGCCTGGGCCGACGTGGGCCCAGCCCCGCCCTACACAGTTCCGGCCAGATCAGGCCCCAGGCCGGCCCCAAGCAGGTCCCCCGAGGTCCCTGAGCAGCTGGTGATCCCCGGGGATCCCGCACCCTGGCCACCCATCAGTTAGGCCAGAGAGGCCCAGTGACTCTTGACTCGAGTCAGGTCCTTTTGTCCCACTGTCCGGCATGGTGGGCACAGCGTGGACGGTCACTTCCTCCTCACTTAATGGGAGGTTCCCTGGCGTTGATGAGATCTCGCTGTGCCAGGCACTGGCCTGGATGTCCAAGGGTGACAGGGACGAGGCTTTCCATCCAGGGCACTGCTGCTGGGATGGCCAGGCACTGGCCTGGCTGCGTGCGGGGGGGGCCTTCTCACGCACCCTTTTGCAAGAAGGGCCATCTGGCACAGTCTAAGCAGGAAAGGAGGGAGGGGATGAGGAAGGAACAGGATGACCTGAGTCACCTCAGTCGCCTTGCAGGGGAGTAAAAGCCATCAGAGGGTGTGGGGCAGGTGCCGGGTGGTGGAGGAGCCAGGGGTGAGTGGTGAGTGGATGATGGTGGCGGGCGGTCCCACCCACAGGGTCAGATGCAGGGGTCAGGGAATGAGGATGCGTTGGGTAGGCTCTGCCCAGGAGTCATTTAAAAGCAAAAATCTGTTACCCCACATCCTGATTGCTCAAGGGCCTTTGGTTGGCACTCTGTTCCCTCCATCTAGTTCCATAAGCCACACCTCTTATTTTCAGTTTCTTCTTCATTATCCACCTTAAAAAAAGAAAAAAAAGGGCACTGTCAACTCCCTAGCGAGGCGTGGGAGGCTTTCCGCCACTGACCTCCCAGCTGGGCCCCCACCTCCGGGACTTGCAGCCCACCCGCCAGCCACACTTTCATGTTCCCTTCTCACGGGCCCCAGGTCTCCCTGCTGAGCTCTGAGCCACGCGTGGTCCCTGGCCGGGGGCAGGCCCTCAGAAACATCACATAGACTAGAGCTTCAGCATCCTGAAGGTAGGTCTTTTTGTCTGTGTTGGTTTGTTTTGATTTTTTTTCCTCCGCAGCCTGGCACGCCAAAAAAAAGGCTGTTGAAGGACGAAAGGAATTCCTTTGAAACCCTCTGCTTTCCCGACATAAAAGTCAACGCTAATTGGATCTTATTTTCTTCAAAAGATTTTACAGCAGCTGAATGTTTTCACACATTTGTAAAGGGTACTAAGAGCGTGTATGAAGATCTATCACTCTTTTTTCTGTTTGCAAATACGTTGCAGACAGGCACACGGCACTGCAGAGGACTGAGGCAGCTGGGGGATCTTCCTAGAGGGGGAGACACGAAGGCCGTGCCCTGACAGACGTGATAGGGTTTCTACAGGCGAAGAGGTGGAGAAAGAAGGCATTCCACTTGGGAGAAGTCCTGGGAGGAAACACAGACACACATATGTCCAGCAGGCTCCGAAACCTATGTGGTTAGAACAGAAGGTTCCTGGAAAAGAAAAGAGTGGGCGAGGAGATCGACTGGGGATTCTGGTTCACTCTATAGACATTTGCAAACTGAAGAGGGATCCAAGAAGCCTTTCAGATAGCCAGAGCTAGCAGTTTTGTGTACAAGGAGTTGGAAATGAGATAAACTGTTGGTGGAGAGGCCATTTTGGAGATGTTTTCCTTTTAGAATTGTTTCATATTTAAGAATAGACCGAATAACCCCGACAGCCCCTAGAAAGGATAAACAAGACGATTCAATTCAACCAACATTTGTTGAGCACTTAGTACACACAAAGCAAGAGAAAACGTTAAAAGCGTTAAAAGCAAATATTGGTGATTCTGGTTTTAAGCCACCCCTGAATCGAAGAAATCCAAACTAAACAGAATGCTAAGGAATTATTCCACTTCAAATGCCTGCCAATTTCCTCAAGATGCAGCTTGTGACAGATACAAATATATTCCAGGAAAGTACTTTCCCCTTTTCACTGCTGACTTTACAGACTTTAACATAAATAAGACAGGCAGCACTTTGTTTAGATAAATTTTTATGAAGGTATTAATCCGTGGCTTAGCATATATTTCACTGTCAATGAAAAATTCACCTCTATTTAATTTTCCTTAAGAAATGAAAGTTTAAAACAAATTACCAGATCTTTAATGCAACCCAAAAAGCAACTTATGTTTTTGATGACTTGAAACCTACTCCACATTCAACTGGATGTCCAGACTGAGCTCAAAAGTCGAAGAAAAGATTAAACACTTCTGGAACAAATCAGAATAAAGCTCCTAGGACTTATCAGGATGCTTTTTCGTACAGGTCACATCCTAGGACACATTTCTCAAATCATATCATATAAGATGGCTCTAGGTGTTTGAAATGTCCATTTAGATGTTAATGTCATGTCACACTTCACCCATATAAAACCTAATGCCTGCTTAGACTCAGCTGATCGCCACGAGGTTCTCAGATTCCACTATACCCCATACTTCAAAGAAACACTCATTTCTTTGGCGCATCTGCTTCATATTTTCTGGTGTTTTCATTCATTTATTCATTTGACATACATTTGTTGAACATCAGTTCTAAAAAGCTCCAGGACCCATCAGGTTTTGGGGATGCAATAGTGCACATGCGCGCATGCACATGTGTGTGTGTGTGTCTCTGTGTGTGTGTGGGGGGGGGGGCAGGAAGAGGAAAGGGGAGCAAATAGAACAGTAAAATCCAGAGATCTAGTTACTGTTTTGAGAAAATTGAGTTAGAGAAGGCCCCTAGGAGTAGGATGAGACTTTTGAATTGGGTCTTGAGGGATGGGTTCAAGTGTGTCAGGCACTCTGATCCCTGACCAAAGACTTGTTCCTGCAAAGGCCTGAAGTAGTAAAGGACGTGCTCATTCTGGCACTGTCAAAAGCTCATATGGGACCAGGTCCCGTGGCTCATGCCTGTAATCCCACACTTTGGAAGGCTGAGGCAGGTGGATCATTTGAGGCTAGGAGTTTGAGATCAGCCTGGCCAACATGGTGAAAACCCATTTCTGCTAAAAATACAAAAATTAGCCGGGCCTGGTTAAGCCTGCCTGTAATCCCAGCTACTCGGGGGGCTGAGGCACAAGACTCACTTTAACCTGGGTTGCAGTGAGCCAAGATTGCACCATTGCACTCCAGTCTGGACAACAGAGACTCTGTCTCAAAAAAGAAAAAAGCAAAAAAGCTCATGTGATGGGACATAAAGTGTGCATAAAATATACATTCACCTTGCAAGTAAATGGACTTGACCTTGAAGGTAACTGGAAACCAGTGGAAGTGCCTCAGGCAGGCCTAAAGTGAAATTAAGGAAGGGCTCCTTCCTGCTTCAGAATGACTTGCTGCTTCATGAGCCCAGGGGAAGCAGAGGTGGGGTCAGCTCCAAAGACCTTTTCCCTACCACATGGTCCTGGAGCAGCTGGCTGAGAAGTGAGCCCACAACTAATGAAAACTGTGACAGCCACATGACCGCCGGAATGCTGCCCTGCGTTGTGGAGGTTTGTGCTGTCCCTCACCACAACCTGAGTGCCTGCACAGCAGGGAGGGCCTCGGTTCCCTTCTGCAACTGGCACCAGACACACCACCTAGATTTGCACTAAATGTTCCCTGAAGGGATGAAAAAGAATGCGTTGCCACGAAAAGCACATTTCTCTAGAAATGTTTTTGAAAAGTTCATTCACTTTTGGAAAAGTTGAAAATCTAGTATAATGAATACTTGTATACCCCTCACATAGATTCATACATATATACGCAGACATAGATACACATATACACACATATATGTACACCCCCCCACCACACACACACACATACAGGCACACCTCAGAGATATTCTGGATTCAGTTCTGGACCGCCACAATAAAACGAGGTATGCCTGTATATATGACACATGCATGTAGGTGTGTGTGTACACATTTCTCCCTGTACCATTTAAAGTAAGTTGTATGCACCCCTACCACAGTGTGTATCTCTTAAGAACAAGGACACCAGCCCACATAATCACGATCATATACTGATCATACCCATGGAAATTTAACATTGAGACAATACTATTATCCAATATACAGTCTTCAATGAAACTTTAATTGTCCCCTTGTCCTTCATGGCTTTTTCTTTTTAAATCCAGGATCCAAATAAGGCATTGCATTTGGTTGTGAAGACTCTCTGGCCTCCTTTAATCCAGAACAGTCCTGACCTTTGCCTTTCACACACTGGCATGTCCTACAGAAGCTCTCACCATCTGGGTTTGTCTGTTTCATTAGATTAGGGTTGAAAATTTTTGGCAACAATATGGGTTGTGGTTCCCATGGAACCTCATCAGGAGGCACATAATCTAAGTATCCCCCATCATTGGGCAAGTGGGGTCTGCCAGATCTCTTCATGGTAAAGTGTATTTCCCCCTTTTATAATTAATTGAATTAATATAATTTCCTCTCTATAAGCCACACGTCGAGACTAAGAATCTTCTGGGTCCCAGCTACCTTTTCCTGAAAGTTTTTAGTATCCATTGATGATTTCTGCCTGAATCAAGTATTGGCTGAGTGATTTTCCAGCTCTATCCTCCCTTCTACACTTACTACCTGGTGTTCTTCAGCAAACACCTTCCCCCTCTCCCCAGGGCTGGCAGCGTGATGATGCAGAGCCTGTTTCAAAAAACAATTTCAACATGGCAACAGCTCAGCATTACCCAGACACAGGGCCCGTGTGGCCGCACACCCACAAAACCAGCCCTGCCCCAGCCCAGATTTATGTGCATCTCATCAAGTGTCACTGATCCCAAGCGTCCCCACTTAGGCCAGTGAGAGCCCCATCAGGCAAGCTCCTTTTTGATGTGTTCCTATCTGTTTT